TGGAAGTAGGCTAATCCGTGATTCCAAGTTAGCAGAACCATTGGCGCCTTGTGATAAGACAAATGGAAGAACAATATTGAAGTTTTGGCTCTTGCTAAAAGATTGGTCTGTTCCATTGCCATTGACTGTCAAATTTCTTATTTGAATCATGCCAGCCGTAACATGTGCCGAACTGGAAGCAGAATTTAGAAGAAGAGTTGCATTTTTCGAAGGAAACTCCGATGCAAATGCCGTGGGAGTTTGGAAGTTTCCCAACATGGGACTTGCCTGGTCGATGAAAGGATACTGAAAATCTGCACCCATTAGAAGTGTGTTATTAATGTTAACAGTGCATGCAGAGGTAAAATGCTTGAGATGCATGTTTGGGACTGCATTGTGGAGTAAAATAAACGAGATTTGAACTTATTTTTCTTCTTAGTAATACCCAGTCCACCTTTCCAAACTTAACAGAAAACAAGAAGTTGCATTAGAATGATTTTTCTTTCAGTACCTGACTGACATTTTGCCAACTTTTGCTTATTAGACAACAACACATCATTATTTGTATCATCAATTAGTTGTTCATTTGACACAGTAGCTTGCTGTGTTCCTTCATCAAACTTCTGGAAAAGAATAGTAACGTGAGCTTAATTACTAAATTGCAACGTGAACCTGGAAAAGACAGTGAAGCTCAAAGAATAAGGTTACCGTTTCGGTGAGGAATGCATGATCAGAAATAAGATCCTCACTTTCAGTCATGTTTGAAAGATCACAAGATAGATACTGTGAGATATCATTGGGATCGAAGAATGTAGGGTACTCAAAGAGCGACGAAAGTAGATGTATTGGCTGCACCAGGATTTGAGATATGGTTAGTTTCAACAAATCCTACATTGTTATATTGAACATTAGCAGAAGCATCCAAGAAAGGTTCATCAAGCAAGTAACCCACATGCTCCAAATTCCTAGGCTCTCTTGATTCAACCATGTATTCATGCCTGACTTGTTTTACAACTGTATCATATGAAGCTGGCAAATCATAAAGATTTCGATCATCATGCTTTTCAGGCTCATTTTCATCTTCACCCATATCAACCATGCGCTGTTGGGCTCCACTACTTGAGTCGGCTATTTCTTCTTCATAGCAGGAATTGTCTGCAAAGTAGGTGTTCAATGGAAGGGTAGAAATGTCTGACGGAATGCCAGCTCCAAGAATCTAGCAAAGAAAGAACATTTTACCATATGAAGGTCGTAAAAAGGTATATTGTGGACCAAAGAAACAAGTATCCTTCACAATTTCCACTAAATTCTCAGTGCGCCCTAATCAGACCGAACATTGTAAAATTAACACACAACACAATATAATGGTAAGTACATTAACCTGCTCAAGGTTATGGCCATCCGAATAGAAATCATCACCAAAATCTACTTCCTCTGCAGCCTCTTGCTTGGGAACCAATTCCAGCTCATCATCCTCCCACTCCTCCTCAATAAATGGAGCCCCATACGATTCTTTGGTCCTGAACCACTCTTCTGAAAGACTCTGCAAAGCACAATAGCGTCCTTGTCCACCAAAAAAAAATACAACAACAATATAAAAAATTAGATCAAGCAATGTAATACAAATCATCCTCCAAAATAAGGTATACAACAATATTGCCATACTAAAAACAATAAAACACTAATACTAATAACGGCCATAAAACAATTATATCATCCCGTATAATTATTATAACACTAATACTAATAATGGCCATAAAACAATTATATCATCCCATATAATTGCTCTTTTATCTGATTTAAAATGACTATCAATCAACTTATTTCTATCAGTTAATTCAAACTTACTACTTTTTCCTAAACCCCTAGAAACCATCACTCCTTGGACATTCATCATCCACACTAATTCTGTTAGCTCAAAATAAGCCTTGAGGCAAAGGCAAAGAATAACTTAAAAGATCAAGATACACAATCTTGTGCACCCACCTGATTATTGCAAATTGTTCGGCCAAGTGGGATTTTTGATGAAAAACGAATGAGCATGATGTTCATTATTAGTGAACCTAAAATCCACGACACCTTTCCTTGTCAGGAGCAAATATGCTGAAGATAGAAAATTTATGTAGTAGGGGATTGTGACAAATGTAACAATAACATAGACAAATAACCATCTAGAATCCTTATACCATATTAAAAGCTTGATGCGGAGTATATTATATTCTTGAAACAAGAAAACCAGAATAGAATTCAAGTTGATAGGCAAAATGTAACCATAATATAACATTATAAAAACACAGTAATGACAAAGAGAAGACAAAATGTTGTATAAAGAGAGGTGTTTGATTCAAGCCAATCTCAGTGCAACACTTCAAAGTTCACTTGGAGTAATTTAATTATTAAGAAGTATACAGCTTGAAGGTTTAGCAAGAAGGGAAAGTAGCTCTATAACACATGAGAAGAGTGAAAGGACACAAATAGAAGGTAAATCAACATAATTTGTGTCTAAGAAAAGCACATGATTAAAATGGATAGGAAAAGAAATTTGAAGGCAACTTGTTAGAAATAATTTAGCTTTCGATTAATGGCATTAAAATATGTTTGTTACCAGTGGAAGGTGAGAGATTCATAAAGAGTTAAGGCAACTTATATCTTGGTAATTCCTTCAGGTATGTGACTAAAATAGCAACACTGAGGGATATCAATCACCAAAACTAAAACAAAAATAAGAAATGAACAAATGTAGCGAAAACGTAGTGCCTACACATGATTATCAGAATAAAAGATCAATGAGAACCTTGATCTCACTTCAGCAAAATTCAGAAGAGGTGATGAGATATTGCTCTTAGAAGCATGAATATTATACTTCTTACGGAAAAGTCCAACCCTCTAAATCCGTAACTAAGAATAAGAAGAAAAAATGGATGTAACTGATGTCTAAAAGAAAGGTATGAAGTGTCCAAGAATCAAAAACTACCTGTAACTCAGGAGCTCTTTGCGTCGTTCCATTAAAATATCCTCTTTGGCCCAAGTCTATAACTGTTGAAATGCAGAAAGACAGAAGCCATAAAATAATCATGATCACAAAATTTATTAAGAAGCATAACTCACAACCCTTAGCTCTATTGTCCATGAATGGACTGCTAATGGACCAAAACATCTTGACTCAAACATGCCGCTAAATGGCCATGTGAAGAAGCTACATTATGCTTATTTGGCATCTAAGGCCATTGGAACATAATACAGGATAAAGGGAAAAATAAATATAAAAGAAGAGGAAGTGGAAGTTAGGATTAATTTATATAGTTACAAAACCTATATTACAAGAGTAAATTGCGATTTATGAAATGCTACATTAAGAAACTCATATAAAGAAAAGATGGTATCCATCAATTTTAATTTGAAAATAGATTGTGTAATTTGTTAAAATGTAGAAAAATTAAGCAAATGAATCACAAATTTGAAGTTTAAGTACATATAATGATCAAATCGATATCAGGAGGAAATCTTAATCTCCAGAGTTTTCAATAGGGTATTCCAGTTATAGACCCCAAGCATCTACACATCCACTATGGAAACTTATAAATGTACAATGACATTGCTTAACCAATCTTTGGAGGTAGCTAGGTAAGGAAACACCAGTGTTGATATAGGGGACTGTACTTTTTCTTTTCTAACAGGCTTGCAGCTTTCAACAGGACCAGTACTTGCGAAAACTTCTTGAAGAAGTGGTTCAGTCAGCTGGGTGTGAATGTTTCCGACATACCTGCATTTTCTCAGAAATAAAGAACCTAAAAGTTCAAAAAGAAAAAGAAAACAAAGAAAAATAGATGAATCCATAAGAAACCCTCCATATATTATAAAATGAAACGATAACTGATAAGAAAACATAACATAATTCAAACCAGTGAACAATGAGAATAAAAATTGTTCCATAACATAATCACAGGGACACATTATTTAAATAAAAGTTTGGCTCTGTGAAGTAAATGTGTAAAACAAGATAAGAAAGTATCTAAGGATGCATCAATCCATACAACAACATTACATATAGGAAACATTTAGGAACAGTTAGCATATATTGCACAACTAAAGCAAGCATGCAGCAAAGAAGAGAAGGAACTAAAATATCTGAATGAACTTACACATTGCGGCATGTGCTTGGATCAAACCCAGGTGGCAAATTTCCACTTGGGATTGGCTCAATCTGCAAAACGAAAAAATTCAAAAAAGAAAGAAGTAATGAAAGCAAAAACGAAACTATATACTCGATCAAAGGTCAAACATATAGCTCTGAATTTGTTCAATATTTCAAACCAATTTAAATAACTTATCCATTATATTTTTAAACAGAGATGTCCTCATCGGCAACTAAACAATGAGCGATAGGCACATATTCCTTCATTTTCTTCTTCTGAGCCAGACAGCGAACACAGTTAACAAAAGAATGACTGAATTTTCATAAATAATAAAAAAAAAAACTGTAAAAGGTAAACCTGAGGAGGAGCAGCTAAAAGGCCAGGATGATAAAGCGACTGCTGTTGAAGGCGAGCCTGCTGCATCAACGCCTGCTGTTGCTGTTGCTCCGTTGCGCACGGAGACACCCCGTGTCTCCGTTGCGCACTGAGGTTCGCGACGGAGACACGGGGTGTCTCTTTGAGACAGCAAAAGGTTCGAAGGGTGCGGTTGGAGAAGGGAACGATTGTTAGGGTTACGGTAAGGTAAAAAGGGGCGGTAGCCAGGATCCTTAAGCCGAGATTAGACGACGTCGTTTTGGTCGACGATTTGAGGATCCGACACGTGGCCAAAAAAACTGGCTCTTTTAGTTTAGTTAGGATAAAAGTATACAACTTTAGTGCTCTGTTTCTTCTGTATTTTCGTACTTCCAAGGCATCTATTTATAGG